GCCGCGGGGACAGCGCCCGTGCAAGGGTGGGACAGCGTGGGCCCCCGGTGCTGGAGCCACAGGATGGGGCCTCCCGAGGGTGCCCGCGCCCGGGGAACCGGCAAAAATTCACCACGGAATCGTTTAGGTTGGAGAAGACCTTTGAGATCATCAATCCCAACCGTAACGGCAAGCCTGGAAGTATTAGCGATGGAACCGGGACTGATTTCCCCCGTAACGTGCTTTTTCTGGCAGTTCGTGCTGCCAAGGCGACATCTATTTAGGGGAGAAGCTGCCCTTCCTCGCCACGCCGCTCCTCCTCGCCGCCGGGCACAGCGCGGCGCGGCATGGCGGCAGGCTGCCGGAGCCGGTGGAGGATGGAGCGATCCGTGATGATCCTCCAAACCGCTGCCCTTTGGCCTCAGCTCTTGGGTTTGCGGATATTTGTGAATTTTTCACGGCTGGGGAAGGTTAAGTGATCTTCTTCCCCCACCCCGCGGCGGGTTCCTGGTGAGCCTGTAGCTGCGGCGGTGTGGGTTTGGTGCTGCTGGGTGCCGAGTCCCCGCGAGCCCGCGCCGTCTGCCGAGCGCTCGCGCTCCCGGTTCGTCCTCGCTCTGCGCCCAGCTGGGCTGGAAAAGTGCAAAAAATGGGGCGAGCGCGGAAAGGGGCTTCCTGGGGCCTCATTCGGTGGCCGCGGGGCCGGGGGAGAGGAAGGGAAAGCAGCGGTTTTGCACTGAAAATTCATTTCATTGCTCAAAATAGAACACATTAGACGAGCTGCTTCCCTCCCCCAGTGGTACTTATGGACAAATTCTGATTTTTATTTAATGGTTTCCCCGAAAAGGTTGTAATTTTCTTCACATTCCCAGCTAGCCATAGCTCCAGCGCTGTTGTGGTGAACTCAAACGACCGAGAATGCCTCTCGTTAATTGATATTCCTCACGCTAGGACTGTACAGAAATAGCAGATGTTTTATTTTAGCTTATTAAAACTCACCTGGTTGAAAAAAAAAAAAGAACTATTAGG